GCTTGAGCCGTAAATTCCGCCAGTGCGTTGGCCGACGTTTGGTAGAGCAGCAGGGCCATGGCCTGCGCCTTCTCGGGCTTGGACACCAGCACCGCGTGACAGCGCAGCATTACCGCCTTGTGCTTGAGCTCGTGCCGGTACACCCAGGCGAAGACCTTGGGCAGCCGCGCGTCCGCCACGCAGTAGGTAACGCGGTGCAGCAGGTAGAGGTGGCCCGGGCGGCGCAACGCGCGCTCTTCGGCGTGCACCATGCGGATACCCTGCGCACTCACAGTCAGCTTCATCTTGGTGCCCTGACGGCCCGCCTCGCTCTTGCTCCAGATCTTGCCCACCGCGAGGTCGGTGCAGCCGTCGCCGCGCGCCTGGATGGTGGTGGCATTGCCCAGGTAGAGCACGGTGTAAGTGGGGTCCTCGCTCGTGATGTGCAGCTTCTTGCGCTTGGAGCGGAACATGCTGCCCACCCGGCTGAGCGCGCCTTCGGGGCACGCCCGCGCCAACGAGCTGAGAGCCGAGTAGTGCAGGCTCACCGCGTAGCCCTTGGGCTTGGACGCCTGCCTTGGCGGCGCCTCGGCTAGCAGCTCGAACTTGTGTTTCTTCCACGGCAGCATCTCCGGAGGGCGCCCCCGCGCAGCTGGGCGGCGGCGGCCGAGCGCTGAGTGCGAGCCCAGCTGAGCCACCCGCCTAGGCCGGGCTCGGCCCCGGGCAAGACCGAAAATTAAAACTCTGCTAGGAGTGGTCCAGTGGTAGGGGTTGGGGGCGGGATAAGGGTGTAGTGCTAGAAAGCCCTGCAGGGGTCAGGGCAGAATTTTTTTTAAAGGAAGAAAATATTCAGTTGCGAGTGTGGAAAAACGCACACAGGATTTACCCTAGCTTGGGCAAAGACGGAGGCAGTTTAGGCAAGCAAAGTGAGAAAAAGACCGAATGAGAGTAAAACGGAAAATATCTGAGAGAGAGAGAGAGAGAGAGAGAGAGAGAGAGAGAGAGAGAGAGAGATGCGCGCCTGCAAATAGAGGGACCCCAAGCAAAAGCAGCCGAGATGGTGCGAGAATAAAGCAGGAACTCCTCGGCGAAGGTGGAAAGGGCCCCCTCTCACACACAGTTCCCAAGGCTGGGCCAGAAACCTCGGAAACTCAGCAGCGAGTAAGGCCAGGGGCCAGTGCTCCCCACCCCCACGGGGTGCTGGAGGCAGGCTTCCACTCCGCGGGGCTGGTCCCAGAATCAGTTCCGTGCCCCAACGGCGGTCAGATGGAGGGTCCGGCGGGCCGCGGCGGACCCGGCGCAGCAGTCCGGTCTTGGCTCACTGCATCTTGGC